GGTAAAATCCCAGATCCCAAGCATACCTTTCCAAACCCTGCTATATAACAAGACAAAAACCCACAACAAGCTCAATGCTTGCAGTGATTTCACTTTGTTACTGTGGTGTGCTTGGAGTTGAAACATGGCCAGGGAAGAGAGTAGCAGGTGATGCAGTGCAAATGATTACACTATAAATCCTAAGACTGTACAGTAACTTATTTCATGCTATGAAGAGAAAGTTGACTTGGGGCAATTTGATTGACTTCATTAAGTGTTGAAGGTACTGCACTAGAATCAACTGTCACTTCCAGTTTAAACCTTGTACTCTGACCACATTCTGGTGCTGTAAATTGTTTATCTCTCACAGAGGTCATTAAGCTTCCTCTAATCTTATCAGTAAATTGATAAAGGTTTTGCTGCTCTGAACAATTTAGTACATTAGGGTTAACTACATTAACGGAGACTTAAGGCATTTTTCCTTGCTAGGGTCTCTCGCCTCCTGAAGTGATTGAAGGATTTGAGAAAGCATGCAAGAAGGCCTTAGAAATTTTACCAGGTATACTTAGTGCTATTATGCTAAAAACAAAACTATTAAAAACTCCAAGTGCCAATGAGTCCCAAGATTTGCTGTTCAAAGGGGGTTGGGGGACACTGTGTGCTGAACTGAATACTAGTGGATAACACAATGGGTTTATGTGAATATTTCATCATTTTGTCTCCTCATTACCGAAGGGGCATATAAGACTGTTGGGGATATGTGGCAACCTAATGGTTTGCGTTCTTGACTCCTGGTCCAGTGGTCCACATTTGAACCCTGGTCTTGGGCATTGCACTCTTGGACAATACATTTGCTTTCCATTTTACCAGTGTTTACAATTTCAGGTACGTACTATTGTACAGTGGTGTGTAGCTATAAGTTATACAAGGCAGCTCAAATAATTCCAATGATATTTTTCATTTCCTTCTAGATTTGAGTTGTTCAAGCTTATCAGATCTAAGAAATAGTGAAGAAGTTGCAAAGGCTCTTAAAACTGCTGTAGGCAGTAAACAGGTACATATCTCACTTAAAACACTCTTCAGAATACTTAGTGCAGAGGTCTTGTTAACACTCTTAGACTATTAACTAAAGGCATTTCTAAGGTGGAATGAATAGCTATGGTTGTGGTACCTGCAGTAACTTTTAAACATTACCGCTATGCTTATAATTAACACTCCAACTTATGCAAAAGGAAACACACAGACACATAAGCCAAAAAAGAAAAGAAATCAATTTGTTAGCTCACATTACCATATCATTATACAGTACCTTAGTTTCCAGTCAAATTAGCTGGTGAAATTGTCAAACACTGCATTGCATTTTCTAATTTATTTCCTTTATTTTATTTGTCTCAGTATGGAAATGAGGATTTCCTGTCAGAGCTTATAACAAAAGCATGTGGTAGGTGACAGATCATCAGTGTCTGTGGCATTTAATCTGTTTTCTTTAGTTTACTTTCAAATAAAATACTGTATGGTAAATAAAGGAATAGCAATACATAGCATACTGTACACTCATCTAGTGCTTGGACCAATGATAAACCCCTTATGTACTTTATCAGCGGTAGTAAGACTGAATGGAGGCAAACTGTAGTTATACAAGTGATTACCAAAAAATGATGACAGCATAGCGCGATTCCAATATTGTTTACTGGTGAACAAGCATGAATTAGATGATACAACGTCCAGTTACCTGTCCAATATTATTGATGAAATAACAAAATTTAATAATAAGCATAACCATTGGTTAATAACGTTCCATAATGATTGGTTAGAATTACTTGTACTACTTCCACTACGGTAAACTGGAGTTTGTTTTTTAACAAGATGCACTATAATAGGAAGTCATCCAAGTACTGTTGCCCCCAAAAAGTAGCGTGCGCAAAATGACATGTACTGTAATGTTTACACTTTGCTATTTATGCCAAAGGGAGGTGCACTGGCCTCATGGTTAGTGCACTCATCTCCAGATCAAGCAGTCCGGGTTTGAGCCCTGGCCAAGGAGTCGACATTGTGTTGTGTTCTTTGTGAAGACACTTTACTGTCATAATGCCTCTCTCCATCCAGGTGTATAAATTGGTACTGGTGAA